CGCTGGGACCCGAGATGTACAGGCGCCACGACCAGTTGGAGCAGCAGCTTGCAGTCAATGCACGCCGCGTGTACGGTGAACAGCTGAGGGCAGACGCAGAGCGCAGGCGCCAGGTGCGATGCTGGCTTTGTCTTATCTTGCTTTGATTCTGTAGAGCGAGAGAAGGGGGGGGGGCTTCATTTGTGCACTGCTTACCTGTGTGTGTATGTGTGTGTGTGTGTGATTGTGTACCTGTATCCAAGCGTTGCGTTCTTGCATATTTATGGACGCTCGGTCATCAGAGCGCGCACTACCTCATGCCAACCTCGCAACTTCACTCACACTTGTGCATTTCGCTTGCACGCCATCGTTGTGGCAGGTGCAAGAGGAAGCAATGCAAGAGAAGGAGAAGGACACGCGAATGGTGAAGAAGATCTTGAAGGAATACCAGGAGGACGTGGCCAACGAGAAGCAGTTTAGGAAGCAGGTACTGCTGTTGCTGCTGCTGCTGCTGCTGCTGATGATGATGATGATGATGATGATGATGATGATGATGATGATGATGATGATGAGGAAGAGGAGGAGGAGGAGGAGGAGGAGGATGGTGTCGTACATGTGTGCGGATGTGAGGGCGTTACCACTTGGTTCACTGCCCTCGCCCATCCCCTCAACTGCACATCGGTCACACACACACACACAAACACACAGACATTGTTCGCCTTCTGGAGACCCACGCCGTCCGAAGGTCGCCAGCATCACATTTGCGCGCCTCGTGACGCCTGTAGGGGAACAGACTCGGCAGCGCTCACACACACACACACACACACACACACACACACACACACACACACACACACACACACACACACACACACACACACACACACACACACACACACACACACACACACACACACCGAATCTACAAATGAAGCCCCCCCCCCCTCAGTCATCGCGTCGCTGCTATGCGTGCACGTCCTCATCCATTGGTGGTGGAAACAGATTGGGCATTGCATACGTGCCGCCTGGCTGCTGTCGTTCTTGCTGTTGTTGCTGCTGTTGGCGTGGTCGTGGTCGTGGCCGTGGCCGTGGTGCTGGCTGCGGACCAGCGTTGTTTGCCCTCGCTGCAATGTCAGTTGCACCCGCAGTGGTGCGTGCTGGCTGTGCGAGATCTGCGTTCTCGTAGGTTGTGTTGACGTACACGCCATGGGACGGGTTGGCCACCACCCCAGCAAACATGCCCGCCCCCGTCGCGCCTGCGTCGTGTGGCGGCGCCTGCGGCGGTGGTGACTGCATGCTTGGTGCCTCCACATAGTCGCTGGTGAACAGGGCTTGCTTCCATGAGTCATCGCCCCCGCTGTTGCTGCTGTCTGGATCACTGCTGCTGTTGTGCCCGGTAAACGCCGGGTTGCGCGCTGTGGCTGCTGTACTGTAGATTGCGCCCTGGTCCCCAGCCGTGCCTTGGTCCGGGCTGGCATACTCCGCATACACAGCGCCACCGCCACGACCGCCAACAACGGGCTGCATGTATTCGTGTCGGGGCGGGTTGATGTCGTAATTGCCCTCGTTCCACCGCTTGTCGTGAAACGCCCGCTCCTCTGCTGTCTGCAGCGTGTGTGTTGTTGGATCGCCCCACGCCATCCGCGCGGGCGGTGTCGGCCCCACTGCTGTTGGCGTTGCTGCTGTCGTCGTTACTGCTGTTGACGTACCGGGCGCCGTCGGCACGGCACTGCTCGAGCCATCGGGTTTGTACAGCGGGTTGGCGAACAGGCTGATGGTACGGTCATGTTCACCAAACTTGTCCCACGCGCCCCGGCCACTGCGACCACCGCCGCTGCCACGGCGTCGCACCATGACGATGACGATGATGGCGATGATGAGCAGTAGACCACCACCGGCACCGGCAGCGACGGGCACAATTGGGATGGCGGCTGCGCTGCCGTTCATCTCGCCAGACACCGACGTCGTCCCACTCGCAGCCGTGGTCGTCATACCTGCTGTTGATGATGATGACGACGACGACGACAAATGTGTTGGTGTTGTTGTTGGTGTTGGTGTTGTTGCGCTGCTGGTGGTTGGTGCTGTGGACGTGGACGGGGGTCCGGCCAGGGCCGCCAGTATCTGCGGCTTGACGTGCGCGGCAACAACAAAGAAGGGCGCATCCGTGCGAGCGTAGCGGCCGGAGATCGCGCGCGCTCGCAAAGACGCCAACGCATCCACCACAGCAGCAGTGCGGCGGTCGTGCGTGGCAACCGTGACGAGGAGGTACACGCTGTCACCGCCATCACTGGCGCTGGTTCCATTGCCACCAGCCAGCGCTGACGTGCTTGTCGTTGTTGACGGCGTGCCAGTTGGCGTGCTGATGGTTCGCCCCGCGTGTACCGCGGTTGTTGTGGTTGCTGTTGCTGTCGTGACACTGCTTGCACCGGCATCATCCGCATCACCCGGCGCCGTCTGTGCATCGGATGCTGTTGTTGTCGTCGCTGATGAGGAAAGCGGCGTTGGTGTGACGTTCGGGTCGCGGCCAGCGTTTAGCGAACCCGTAGTTGTCGTCGTGGGTGTTGTTGGTGATGTTGGTGATGTGGCACCCGTGTCATCGCCATCGCCTGGCCCATCACCGCTCATGGGGGAAAGGCCGAGCTCTGGGAACACAACCTCTGCGCGCAAATCAACTTGGGTGACATTGTGCACAACCCACACGTCCAGCAGGGAAGATGCCAGGCCAGCCGCAACCACGTCCGAGTTGGCGGTGTCCACGACGCCGGCACCATGGCTCGGCGCAATGTTGTTTGAGGAAGAGGAGAGCGGGGCAAGCGACAGCCACTCCTGCACCACCGCTGGTGTGAGGGAGGCGGCTTGACTCGCGTCAGCGGCCACAACAATGGCAAGCGTGTTGTTGTCCGCAGGCACGACAGCCTCGCTGCGCACAACCACGCGCACAGTTGCGTTGTCCACATTGCCAGCCCGATCAGCAACCGTTAGGGGCACGATGTAGAAGCCAGGGCGGCGTGAGTCGACGGCAGCGAGCGCGGACGCGTTGACCTGCAACGACACATCGCCATCGGCCACATCTGTGGCAGCCACGTGATCGCCCGCAAACAGCGGGGCGCGGAAGCCAAACGGCCAGGTCACGGTGCCACCATTCTCCACCCTGAGGATCGGTGGGCGCGTGTCAATGGGCAGCACGAAGCGTGTTGTCGAGACAACCTGCTTGTGCGGCAGGGTGAGGGTGTAATAGACGATAAACGCGTAGCTTCCGCTTGGCGCGAGCGTCTCAAACAAATCCGTGTCGCCCGCAGATGACACAAGTTGGAGATTGTCGACGTTTGCAACCGCCTCTGCGTGTGAGGCATAGGGGCCACGCGGGCGCACGCGTGCCGGTTCCTCGTACACAAGTGCAGGGCGGATGACAGCGCACACCGTAGTGGACACATCGCCATACCAGGCGTCGTGGGCACGGATGCCAGGGTCAGCGAGCTGCACGCCAGGCTCCACCTCAAAGGTGATGATGCTGTCGCCATCAAGGGTGATGGTGGGCACTGTGGTGTCGACGATGGAGAGACGGCCAACACCGGACGAGGGTCCGCACGTCTCCCACGTCGCCTCGAGCAGCTGATTCGACGCAAACGTGCCCACGAGCGTGTCCGGGAACCACGGTGGGAGGGACGGCGGAAGTGTCGTTGGCTCGACGGGCAGGGCGGTTGAAACGGGAGGGCGGAAATACAGGCAGTCGCCGTGCACGGGAATGAAGGCATTGAGGTCCACCTCGACCAGGGACAGCGCAGTGTCTGGTGTGGCGGGTGCGGGGTCTGCTGTCCCCGTTGCCCAGTCGATGGCCACATCACCAGCAGCAAACGCAGTGCCCACTGCCAATGGAGTGCTGGTGGAGATTGAGTTTCCCGACGAATCTGTTGTGGTGAGCGTGACGGTGTACGTGTCGCTTTCAGCGTCGTGCACAACAGGGGGCTCATGGGATATGGGCACCTGTCCGTCCCAGGCGTCCATGGCAACAGAGTGGCGGCTGGCGTAGCTGCCAACTTGGCTCCCGCTTGGGTTGGAGCACAGGAACACCTCGGACGCAACGCTGGTGAACACTGGTGGCGTTGTGTCCTCCACCGTGTACGTGTATGCAATCGTCGCGTTGTTGCCAAAGGCGTCGCTCAGCAGCAGCTGCACAGAGATGTTGGCCGGCAGGACGGACGGCGTGAGCGCTGTCAGATTTGACAGCACGTGGACGGTGAACGGGCTGGCGTCAAACACAAGCGGATAAGTGTTGATTTCCAGCGGGCGTGTAGCTTCATTTGTCGCGGGCACACGGCTCAAGCGCACTGGGGGTTGCGTGTCGGACACAATCACCGTCAGCGTGACGGGCTCAGCGTAGTTGCCGAGGGCGTTGGGCGCGGTCACATTGTAGACGACCTCATACACACCCGGCTCGTGAAAGTCGACAAGCGGCTTCTGCGTGATGGTGAGGTTGCCGTTGAGATCCACATCACCGGGGATGCTGTTGAACACCTCTGCGCGCGGTGGTTCGAACGGCGCCTGTCCACGCTCAACGTGAAGCGGCGTATTCGTCTCTGCAAACACGCGAATCAGGGGGACGGTTTCGAAGATGTAGATGACAGTCAGGTTCACGCTGCTTGTGCGCCCTTCCTTGTCGCTTGCACTCAGCGTCACCGTCCTGCCGTCTGCGAATCGTTGTTGTTGTTGTTGTTGTTGTTGTTGTTGTTGTTGTTGTTGTTGTTGTTGTTGTTGTTGTTGTTGTTGTTGTTGTTGTTGTTGTTGTTGTTGTTGTTGTTGTTGTTGTTATGGCGGTGTGTACGTGCGTGTGCGTGTTGTGTATGTATGTGTGTGCGTGTGCGTGTGTGTGCGTGTGTGTACGTGCGTGTGCGTGTTGTGTGTGTGTGTGTGCGTGTGTGTGTGTGCGTGTGTGTGTGTGTGTGCGTGTTGTGTGTGTGTGCGTGCGTGTTGTGTGTGTGTGTGTGCGTGTGTACGTGAGCGTGTTGTGTGCGTGCGTGTGTATGTGTTTGTGCGTGCGTTGAAAAAGGACGGCGCAGACATGGAGCGTGTGCATACGTGCAACAAAAGCGCGGGAATCATAATGGCACCAGCAACAGACCGTTCAAACGTCACACATACATACATACACACATACATACATACATACATACATACATACATACATACATACATACATACATACATACATACATACATACATACATACATACATACATACATACGTACATACATATGTACACACAACCTCCATGCGTTTCATGTTTGGACGGACCTTTTGAACGCGATTGCATCACGTCGCGCGGGCCGTCAAATGCATCAAATGCAGTGGCGTTGATGGTGGGCACTGGTGACGTGTCCTTGGGAATGATCACGAACCGATCCATGCCTGCAGGCAACGTGATGACTGGTGGCTGTGTGTCCACTGTTCGAATTCGTCGTGTCATGAGCGTGGACGTGGACGGGGACGTGTGTGTGAATGTGAAGGGGGAAGGGGTGAGGACGAAGGAAAACCAACTGGTAGGCGTAACTTATGCGTGCAAGGGCGCGATGGAGAGAACGTGCACGAAACACAATCACGCACACGAATACCAAAAATTCGCCAGCACAACACACGTACCCAAACAACACAACACTCAGCACAAGCACAACACCGCCCCCATCCCCGCCACAAAAGCCCGCACCTGCGCATGCGCTGCGGTTGTATGTGACTTGGAGACCGCACACTTTGCACTCTAGCTGCTGCGGTTCGTCCTGGTAGGTGTTGTCCTCACAGGGATGGCTGTCGCAGAAGTAGCAGCGGTGGCCAGGCTCGCACGGGCGCTGCACGTACTCCTCCCGGTCAAGGTAGAAGCCTGGCGCAGCCGCACGCGTGCATTGTGCATTGAGCATGGGCATTTGGGTGTGTGTGTGAATGTGTGTGAAGTGCGTGTCAGTGTGTGAAGTGTGTGTGTGTGTGTGTGTGTAAATGTGTAGCAAACAAGCAATGAGAGCAACTCATGCACGCACATGCGCATGCGCACGCAAGCACAGCACCGACCAGACCACTCCTCCCATCTCCCATCTCTCGGCTCCCTCTCCACCGCGTGCACTGGTGGTGAAAAGTTACGGCAAATACGCACACACCATTTGCACACATGGTGCAGAAGCTGGAGCCTGGGCCAGGCGTGTATTGGAAGTCGAGGTTGCATGCTGAACACGCAGTCTGGTCGAAGTCTCCCGTGACGGTGTGTTGTGGGCACAGCTGGCAGGCGCGGGCCGGGTGTGTGTGGTTGATGAAGCTCCCTGGCGGGCACTTGCATGCCAGGTCCATCAACGCATATCCGTAAGTGCAGGAGACGTTGCACGTTTGCACGTCGAGCGCTGGGCGGCCGTTAACGTCCAGTGACGCATTGCGGACCTGGAGAAACGAGTCGCTCGCAGTGGTGGTGATGTTGGCAATGCCGTCGGCCGACCAGCGAACCGCGTCGTCGCTGCAGTTCACCGCCATATAGTCGCCACCGCCGTTGCATGTGAACGTCCACAAGAACGTGTTCGCGGTGAATTCGCGCTGGATGCCCACCTGCACAGGGTATTCAGCTGTGGGGTGTGCGTGCGTGTATGTGTGTTGGGGGGAGACATGGACGACAATTAACATCAGCATGGATTACGAGGCGAAGGAATACCTGGTGCACTCCCACACACACGCACATACACACATTCACATTCACACACTCTTCTCACTCACACACTGACATACACACACATTCACATTCACACACACACTGACACACACACACACACACACACGAAATCATACACACACATATATTAACGCGCACACATGCACACATCAAGGAGATGTGTTTACCTGGGCAACGGAGGCCATCGTCTGGGACGGGTTCAACCCAAGCGTACTCGTGCTGTCTGAGAGCATCCGCATCACTCGTGTCGCTGACGTCAAGGTCTGCAACCGCCGCGCCCACCGGCAGTCAGGCATGATTGTATGATGTGAGCAAACGGCACACCACGCAAGATGGCGCAGGCGAAAGGAAGAAGGATCAGCAATGCAAGCGGGGCATTGGCTCATTCCGACTCACTTCCACGGCACGTGATCGCGAATAGGTCCACTGCTGACGATACTGTGGTGCATGAAACGGTGAGCATGAGGGAAGGGGGATGTTGGTGAGGGAACAATACAGAGGCACACACACACACACGCACGCACACACACACACACACACACACACACACCACACACACACACCACACACACACACACACACACACACACACACACCACACACACACACACGCACACACACAGTGAAATCATTGACTGACCTCGCTCAAACTTGGTCATGTAGTCGCGACAGAGGACGTCAAATGTAGCCTGCCACACGTACAACCAACAGACGTGAGGATGTGCTGTGCGGCAGAGAGAGGAAGCTCAAATACCGATGTCAGAGGCAATGCATCCACCACCATCTTCTCCTCCTCCACCATGCAGCAAGCGCAGCAACGGCAACACCCCCTGTACCTTAAACTCGCTTGCTGTGGTGATGGAAGAGAGCGAAGAAACAAGCACCGTCACCAGCAAGAGCACCACCGCACCACCACCACTTTGCCGTGGCTGTGGACGCGCGTGCATTGCCATCGCTGAAGCTGGCGAGACAAGCGGATGGGGCGGGGCAATGGAAGCGAAAACAAGTGTGAGTGCCGCTCGCAAACGCCGCGGTTGGATAGCAGGGATAGGGCATGCAACACAACGAAAGAGTGAGTCAGCCAACAAGAGTGAGCGAGCCAACAGCAAGGGCTGATGCAACAGTACCAACGACAACAAACAAGCAGCAGAGACAATAAACAAACACCTGTCTGGTTCACATCGCAGCATGTCACCCACCTCACGCTTATTGTGCTCCAAATCCAAGAGCGCGAGTCAGGGGTGCCAGAGGTACAGAAATTTAATGTATGATATTCATAATTTCTCGTATGGGAAGATCGTCAAGGCAGAGACAGGCGGGGGGTTTGTTTGTGTTTTTGAGGGGTTGGTGCGAGATGAGACAATGTGATGTCAAAGACTCAAAGACAACTGCACCTGTAGACCTGTACACACGTGTACACACGTGTACACTCACTTACACACGTTTCTACACATTCGCTCACTTACACACACACGCACTCACTTACACACACTTCACATTCACTCACTCACTTACACGTAACACACCCCACGTTACACCACGAGACCAAGCTTGTGGATGGTCTCGAGGACAGAGAGCGACTCGAGCGAGGCCGATAACCGCACAGCCTTCAGTAGCGGCCACTGCTTGAGGGCAGCAGCAACCACGTCAACCTGCTCCGCCGTGGCGCGCCCCAGAAGCAGCGTCAGGTGCTGGACTTGCGTTGAGGCGAACAGGACGTATGAGAGCGTGGTCGCGTCCTTGAATGCCGTCTTCATCACCACCCGCTCCACCACAGGCGTGCAGCCCTCCTGTGCACCAAACACACACGCACACATGCACACATGCATACACACACATACACATACACACACACGAACACACACACATACACATACACACACATACACATACACACACACGAACACACACACACACACACACATGTGAGTGCCAAGTGCGGATGTTGAAGACAGCAGCATGCAATAGCATGGGTGTGTGTGTGTGTGTGAGAGAGGACGCATCGTACGTACGCTGGCATCCGTGATGACGCCCTCAACGCTTAGGTGCGTGAGGTGCCGCAACCGCTGGTCTGAAAGTGAGGCACACGTACCCTTGCCCACATGCAGTGAGCGCAGCGTGTCCGCTGTGTGTGGCAGCAGTGGTGGTCGTGACAAGAAACGTATTGTGGTGATGGCAGCGGCAGGAGCTACATGGTGAGGCAATGTGTAAGTGCCTGTCGTACAAACATACATTGCACGTAACACACACACACACACACACACACACACACACACACACACACACACACACACACACACACACACACACACACACACACAGACGCATGTGCCTCACCGCAGGCGGTAATTATGGGTGTAATGTCCAGGTTGTCTTTGCGCGACGTGAACGTGACCGAGAGCTCTTGCAAGCGCTTGCAGTAGGGGAGACAGAAGGACACAAAGGAAATGCCGCTGTCCACATCACTCCGACAGCCAGCGGGGTTACTTCTAATGGGTGTGACAAAGCGGTGTCGAGGGGTGGGGAGGGGGTTTGGTGAGGTCGCATGGTGGAGAATTATGCAGTTTGTTTGCTTGTTCATGGGTGTGTGTTGTGCGTGTGTGCGTGTGTGTGTGTGTTTGTGTATGTGTGTGTGTGTGTGTGTGTGTGGTGACGGAAGAGAACACTGGGCTGGGAAAGCAAACTCGTGCGTACAACGCTGCAGGCTGACAAAGGATGGTGAATGTGCAACACACGAGCAGGTGTAGGCGCACACGCACTTGTGCACACCGCCAACTCACTTGTACTCAAAGGAGGTGATGTTGGTCATCCCTTCCAAGCAGGTGATGCTGCACAGTGGTCGCACACGCACAGACACGCACAGACACGCACACACACATACACATACACATGCACGCACACACACATACACATACACATGCACAGACACACATACACATACACATACACATGCACACACACGCGTGTAGGGTACAATGGGTGGCAGGGTGTCGTGACGCAGAAGAAACCAAAGCGAGCACATGATTGCACTCTGAGCAAGCAACACTGAAAGCACAAGTACGAAAAACGCGCCCACACAGGTGTGTATGCGCATCACACATCTCTACATCTCCACATCTCCACATCTCCACATCTCTCTCATCACTCTCATCACTCTCATCTCCTGCCCCCCCCCACCTGGAGTTGAGGAGTTTCAGCCCCTTGATGGTGCGCGCTGCTGATGGAGCAAGCGGGCCAGCGAGACGACCGCCGAGCGTGTGTATGCGCGGTGGAAGTGCACGCGTGACCCGCCCATCCGCAATGCACGTGTGGAGCTCGGGACTAATGGTGGTGATGATGATGATGGTGGTGATGGTGAGCATGGTGGTGGAGGTGGTGCATGAGCAGGGCAGGTCGGGTGGGAAGACGATATGTGTGCAGCAAAGCACACAAGCACGAGCAAACACACGTGCTCACACACGCACACACCCGTACACGCACACATACACCACACACACACACACACAAGCACGAACAAACACACGTGTTCAAACACACGCACACGCACGCACACAGAAAGCACCGGGTCATACAGTGTGACTCACGCGTTGCGCAACACGTTGTTGAGGGCAATCTCTCGGTCTGCGGTGGCGACGATGGTGTGAAGACGCGGAAACTGCTCGGCAGCATCAATGGCGGACTGAATGTCCGCAGCGCCACGCCCACCGGTGACGACGACAGACTCAAGGGTGGACGCGTGTGCAGCAATGAGGCGCAGCAGGCCTGATGGCACGTGCTCGGCAAAGTGCAGCTCAAGCTGCGGGTGTGTGAACAAACCGTGAGTGCTGACGACATCGAAGGGAAGGCAGATGTGCGGTATTCATCACACGCACGCCAACACACACACACACACACACACACACACACACACACACACACACACCTCACGCAGGTGGTTGCAGGAGAATTCGAAGCTCCTCGTCCCACGTGACCAAATACACAGCCGCTGCAAACGTGGCATCTCAACCACATCACTCACTCCCAGCAGTGCATCAGCATTCTGCGCGCGCGCGCGCGCGCGTGTGTGTGTGTGTGTGTGTGTGTGTGTGTGTGTGTGTGTGTGTGTGTGTGTGTGTGGTTGTGTGACACGCAGGAGGAATGCGTCATTGACAGTGAGGCGTTGAGTCGCTGTCGTGTTCTCGCGGCGCACATAGGTCCCCCAACATACACACACACACGCACACACACACACACACGCACACACACACACACACACGTACGTACCACTTCAAGGGTGGTCAGGTGCGGAAGACGACTGAGGAGATCCATTTCGATGTTCACCAGAGACGGCCTTTGTACTTGCGCGTGATGTGAGAATACAAAACTCCTGCATGGCACAGGGCACGAGTAGAAGAAGCAGGGTCGGTGAGAGTACCAGTTTGGCTGAGCAATAAGGGCGCAGCAGCACCAGCAACCGGCGTGGTAGTGCACAATGCACGCACGCACACACACACACTCACACACGCACACATCGTAGCAGCGATTTTACTCACGGCAGCGGTGTGGCGCAGAGGTTGACGTGTCGAAGGTTTGCCACGACCTCGGAATCGCCCAAGATGTTCTCCAGGACGCTGCAAGCCACCGCATGCTGCACAATCAACGTCTGCAGCCTTCCTTCACTGGTGTACCGAAATTGAAGCACCAAGGAGCGTGGAGATCTGTGAGGGGTGGTGATACGTGGCAGTGACAGCACTGCGTAAAGTGTGGGCTATGGGCTGGCTTGCCAGCCTGTTCTGTTTGCACTGATGCATGGGTTGTGCACTCACCCCAAATGACAGTACGACTCCAGTTGCTTGCAGCCAATTTGATGCCCGTGCGGGCTTCGCAAGTCAATTGTGTCCCAGATGTGTGGGCTCAGAAATATTTCCATGCACTGCCTGCACGTTGCGCCAAGCTGTGCAGTCATGTGATGATTTCAGTGGCGCGGTGTCAGTGGCGATACTGTTTCTGGCCATCACAGTCTTTCTCATGTGCACCTTCATGCACAAAACCCAACACACACACACTCACACAAGCATACATACGCACACATGCACGCACACACAAGCATTCATACACACATACACGCACGCACATCTGCACCTTGCAGCGGTCTTCGACGGTGAGGAGCTTGAAGATCGTGCCAAGCACATCGTGCCCGACATCCAACAGCGACGCGCCGTTCATCCTCTCAATCGTCGTTGTCCTTCTGCTGAAATCTGTATGAAAACATTAACAAATCTTCCCAACTTGAACCAGAAAGCGCGGACGCTGCTCACCCACAACACCCACACACCATCATCATCACACCATGGGCGACTTGGAAGGGTTAATGTTGGTGGAGAAGGAGCCTCGCGCTGGCGATGCCATCACGTTGTGGTGGCCAAAGCTTGTCGCTGGCTCAGATCCGCTCGAAAACGCATACCTTTCTTTTCGCAGGACCAAGGCGCAAGAAACGCGCGAAGGTACATCATGACAGTGTGTGCGCACTGCGTGTGTGCGCACTGTGTGTGTGTGTGTGTGTGTTTGTGCGTGACTGGGTGTGTGTGTGTGTGTGTGTGTGTGTGTGTTTGTGTTTGTGTGTGTGTGTGTGTGTGTGTGTGTGTGTGTGTTTGCACCGATGCTTCTTGATGATGTTTTCGTGGCAACAAGTACGCGCGTGTCGACCTGCCATGCATGTGCTCACGTGAAGGGTTTCCTGCGCAGAGTTTATCAAGCAGTTTCCATTGGTGCTTCCGCCCAAGATTAGCGAGGATGACAAAGGCAGCAAGCAGCACAACCGCGAGGAGGCGTTTGGCGACATCTTCGCAGGTTCACTCGGGTAAGGATGCATGCTGATCATGAGCATGTACTCTCCGCTGACAAACTGCTGAGTCTCACCCAACAACTCACCCTTTGTGACATCCTAATGCTGACATGTTGCTGCTCCAGGACGAAAGCGAGGGCACTCGCCTACATGCTGAGTCCCGTCGGCGCCCCTCGACAAACTGTCAGATACATTGGTACGACTGTGTGTTGAGTGTGTGAATGCGTATGTTGTTGAGTATGTAAATGAGCATGTGTTATGTTGTTGTTGTTGTTGTTGTTTAAGTTGTTGTTTAAGTTGTTGTTTAAGTTGTTGTTGTTGTTGTTGTTGTTGTTGTTGTTGTTGTTGTTGTTGTTGTTGTTGTTGTTGTTGTTGTTGTTGTTGTTGTTGTTGTTGTTGTTGTTGTGTGTGTGTGT